TCACATTTTCTAAAATATTTCTCAGAACTATTAATACTATTCTTGTTTCACAACTCCATTCAGCATTTGACACCATGTGTTCCTGTTCTGTAGCGTTCATAAACCATCAATGCCACCAAAACCAGCATTTCTCTTCACTAGTATGCAGCATTTTCACACTCTAGTCAGAACCACAGGATGTGTTCAAATAATCACATGTGAATTCTTGGGCTGTGGATACAAACAAACAAACAAACAAACAAACAAACAAACAAACAAACAAATAAATAAATGTTACATACTAACTGTAATATTTTTTATTTTATTTTCAGTAGCATTTTGTTCCAAAGTGCAAAATACTTAATAATTGACATGTATAACCTGATTCACTGCATTAAGAGATCATGGTTCATTTGTTTTTACTGTGACACAGCAAGGATGTTTAAGAAAGCATCAGCTCCAGAATATTTTAAAAGGCACTGTTTCTTTATTTTTTTAAAAAGGAAACATGAACAGTTCAAAATAAGAAAAACCTACAAAGCATCAGCTACAAAGCAGTGACACAAGTCAGAAGACTTCCTTTAAGAAAAGAGGAATATACATGCTTATAAATTACAGTGTGGATTCATGTGCTTAGAATTTGTGAGGCAAACAAACATCACAGAGGCTAAAATAGCGTTGCTTTACTGAAACTTATATTAGGACTGAACTGCTTTACGATAACGGTGTGTGATGGGCTATATATTGCTCTGCTAATGACACACAGCTCTACTTCTATCATCAACCATTTGATCCCACAGTAGCTACACAAAACTCAGACTGCCTGATGGACATTTCAGCATGAAAACCCATCATCTACAACTCAATCTAGTGAAGACAGGGCTTCTCGCCTTCCCAGCCACTCCAACAATACAGCACAGCTTCACCATCCAGCTAAAATCATCAATAATCATCTCAACCAGATCAGCCAGAAATCTTAAATTAATCATTGATGACCAGCTGACCTTCAAAGACCACATTCAAAGCACCTACTACATGAATAAATGTAAATGTACCATCTATGATAATATTGTAATTACTGTTTTAACAATACGTGAGCTGACACTGTCGAGCATGTTACTCGGTTTGGAAAAATCTAACAAAAACATGGCTTTAGAGTCCACACATTCACTGTGTGATGAAGCATAAAGAAGTTAATTTCTGTCACTACTGTGAACCAACCATCACTTAAAATGTGAAGAATATGAGTCAGCTGTCCACGACAGGCCTAAACCAGCCAAGGTACCAGAACAAAAAACACTCAGCAAAATATTGTCTAATTATTGTTATCAACAAACTCCCAGACAATAGAGATAAACAAACAGTTTAGTTCAGTCAGTTTGTTATCAGGCCTCAGAAAGGCAATTCATTTTAAAAAATGAGGTGTTATACAGATTGACAACCATGTCTACTTTTAAAGTCAATATAAAATCAAAAAGTACTGTATTTAATTTCTTAGCTATTCCAAAGATAAACAAATCAATGTATATAACAACCTTCTTTTTTTACAATCCAATTAATTCCTGATGGATCAAATCAAGTTCTTCGCTACACATTTTCTCGTTGAATATTCTGTTTCACTCAGAAGTCAAAAGAGTTGTGATGCTGGTTCATGTTGACTTTAACAACTGTGAGATGCCAAAAGGAGTCACTCCTAAAACGTGACTTTTACAGTAAGCGAGCATGTTCAGTCTGAACTGAGAAACTGAGAGATTCCAGGATGAAGCTGAAGTTTTCTCACCGTCACGACAGATTAAGATCAGATCGCAGTTTCTTGCTCTTCAACAGATGCAACTGTTAAATACACAAATGCAAAACAATCAAGCATTTACTTGAACAGCTATGTATGTTTCTCTCTCTCTATGTTTATTGTTTTTATGAACTACCTTCATCTTTTAACTAGATTTAAACTAATTTGACTAAAAAAGACAAAACAAAAAAATCATGTCTTTGTCAGTGAGGAAAGATGTGTATTTGTAGAGTAAAATATTAGCAGGAGGAGTGAGACAGATTCAGTTTAACTGATTACAACAATTTTCACAATAAATTTTCAAAGCAGCTTTAGTGAGCACCTTACAAACCCAATGTCAGGGGCTGGCGTCTGGTGTTCTCCCTCTCACCACCAGAGGTCGCCATCTCCCATCCTCCCGGACTCTTTCTCCGTCACCTTGACACCACACACCTGGGCACCCACTCACACACACACACACAGCTGTCGCCCATCCGGGACTCCATCACCTGCACTCCACACACCTGTGCACACACTCACTCTCACACAGCTGTGGCCCGTCATGAGGACTATTTAGGCGCCTTCCCCACGCCACTCGGGGCGGATAATTAATGTTTGGTTGAGCTATGTCACGAGTCTGTTTTGTTTGTAGTCACGAGGGTTACGAGTGTTTCGAGTGTCTGTTCCGGGACTGATGCAAGCCAGAGGTGGCCGTATTGCATCAGTGCCCATTTGCGTGTTCTAGCGTGTCTCAGAGTCTTAGCTCTGTTTATGTTCTGTTTTTCCTTTGTTTTCCCTGGCAGTGAATAAAACCTGCATTTGGACCCAAAACCCTTGCTCACACGGTGTGTCTTTCCTGACCGCGCCGTGACACCCAAAGCATGACAAGTTACACAGTGTTAATAACTAGATTAAAGCAATAAGCCCCAAGAAGCTGTGGTTTACAGTGAATTCATAACAGCTAAGGGGCGTTGTTAAAAAAAAACCTTAGCTGTCATAAATTCACTGTAAACCACGGCTTCACGGGGCATATTGCTTTTATAAAATGGTTATTCCATATACGTAGTAAGGTTTCACAAAAAAAACAGAGCAACTAATGTGTAATGATATTAATAAAAACAGTATTCTTCCACCAAACAATGTAGTTCCTCAGAAACAGTTGTAGTTCCAACAAAGTGGTTGCCGAGCAACACACAGAAGTAAACAAAGGTGTATGTTTGTAGAGTAATCTACAACAGCTTCTAACAAGGCTCAACCAATCAGAATCAAGGACTGGAACTATCTGTTTTATAAAAAAAATTCATCAAGACAAACTTTAGGCTTGAGAAAGCCTCGTCTGAAAGTTTAAACAGTTATAAAAGCTTGAAGTTTGAAACTATGATTAGCATGTTGCTAACATTGATAGATAGATCAATGTTGATCAATATAGATAGATTGAGTCTCAAGGGATTCTGGGAATTTAAATTAGAATTTAGACGGTTGGAGATTGAATAGTCTTGGCTCATCTGAACATTCTGTCAATGCAAGTCTATGGGATTTTTATTATTTTTATCTTCATTTTTAAGAAAACCATGAGTCAGATCAGTCTGAAAAGATCTAGCACACTAAGTGAGATCAGTCTGAGGAGCTGGGCTGAGTTTGGTGGTTCTAGCTTGAAAGCTCTAGGAGGAGTAGCGTTCAGAAATCTAAACTAAGAATAATAAAAAGCTTAAATAGCTTATCAGCAGATTGGCTTTCTCATAATGACCAATTTGGTGTTTAACTGAATATAATAAATATAATGTAATAAATCAGACAGATATTTACCTCTCATCCTGCAGCATTTGAAAATCAGCACGACTGTCACGAGCAGATATGGAGAAACTGCCAGCACAGAACTGAGTGTGTGGAGGACAGAGATCAGATATCCTGAATGAGACACTGAAGAAGAGACACACAAGCGCTTGATCAAGCACCATATCTGAACGAGAACATGAGAAGAAATCAACCAGCTCACAGTTTCATTGTCTCTCACCTGTGACTGAGATCCAGCTCTTGGGTGACTCTCCATCTGGGTGTTTGCAGGAGTAGAAACCCTCATGTGATTTTGAGACATTAGAGATGATCATCTCTGTAGTTTGACTCTGGATGAGTGACCCATCTTTATAGAAATCAGCTCTGAGGTTTGGTGGGGTTGTATGTTTATATAAACAGCGTAGAGTCAGAGTTTCTCCTTCAGTTACAGGATGAACAGGACTCTCCAGAATCACACCAACTACAGAAACAGAGCAAACATCAACTGACAAATAGTAAGATTATAGTAAGAATGTAACAACAACAACAATAATAATAATGCACTTTATTTAGAGGTGCCTTTGAAAACACTCAAGAACACATTACAACTTGATGACAATCATACATTACAAGACAGTAATACAATCAAAGCAACATCTGTTCAACATAAAGAAAACCCATAAATTAAAATTAATCAGGAAAAGCTTCATTTAAAAAGATGAGTTTTAAGATATGATTATTTTTTATGACAAAAGTCAAAGGCTACTTTCTAGTGTATTGAATATGTAAGACATAATCCAAATAGGACAGAGTTACAATAATCAATACAATAATAATAATAATGATAATAATAACACATTTTCTCATGGGGGTTATGAAAAATATAAACAAATAAACATGACATGTGGGTAAATGACTGCACGATTCTGGATACATTTAGAATCTCAATGTTTTGAGCAATGGTTTAATAGTCAAAGGTTTACTGGTCTAGTGGATTCATTGTCATTTAGGAATAAGATTGCGTGTGAATACGATTGAATTGAGATCACAATCTGGCTATTTAAATCTGAAACAAGAAATGAGGGCTTTGTGAAAAATACAGAAACACAGACTCACAGTGTACAGTGATATTAACAGGATGACTTTTCTCTCCAGATTCAGACTGACACCAGTACACTCCAGTGTCCTCTGTGAAGGTGTCTCTGATTGTACATGTAGATCCTGTTTGTGATCCCGACATTGATGATGAACAATCTTCCAGCCGCCAGCTGTCTCTGTATCTTCTCACTGTCCATCCAGTAGAGTTACTCTGGTCCTCACAGCTCAGAGAGAGAGAGACAAATGTGAAGTGTTGAGTTCTGCTGGGACTGACGATAAGAGAGACTGGAGGAGAAACACCTGAGAAGACAATTACAGCTATAATTCAGAAATCAAGTCAAGACAGTTTTATTTATATAACACTTTACACAAATTGTTTCAAAGCAGCTTTTCAGAAAAATATTAAAGTTATAATATCTGAAAATCCATTAGTCTTCACTGAGTATTTCTATTTAAAACTTGATAAAAAAAATAAAAACCTTAATATGTTTGTCATTATGCCATCAGCAGACAAGCCAAAGACAACTGTGACAACCAACATAAACCTCCATAAAGTGTTACTATTGGAGGAAAAAACCTTGGGAGAAACCAGAGTCAACTCGAGGATCAGTCCTGCTTTGCCTGTACAGTGTGAACCTAGTAGTATTTATAGTTAGCGGAGTTTGTTGTATATTTATTTACTAATTTATTAGTAGCCAGATAATCAAACTGTAAAATTATTGATTAAGTGTTTATATGGTCCATCCTATAAAATGTGCTGATGTGCACATTGAGTGTCCTGTGTTGTTGATAAAGTGCCTCCTAGAATCAATGTCTGGTCAATAACATAAAAATTAAAAATAAACACCTATTTGATTATGTTCCCTCAACTCCACTTACGTGAGTAACACTTTTGTGCCACAATAGTTTAGTTTATATATTTTTCATGACAATTTTACACCATTATAATTAAACGTTTTTCAAGGTTTTGCTGGTTAGTTTGGTCTGTTTAGGACCTCCTCACTCATTCTGTGGTTCAGTTTGTACTCACCAGTGACCCATATTAACTGTGTGTTGCTGATGGTTGTGTTATTGGCTGGTTTTCCTCTCTCTGCTGTGCACACATAAACTCCTGTGTGTTTTAGAGCAGCAGAACTGACAGTGTAGTTTCCTCCAGCTCCTCTGCTGCTGTCTGAGAGCAGCTCATAACGATATCTGTAGTCTGTATAAAGTGAAAAAGTGCAGTTACCTCAAGAAATGAGCAGACATTTTTACACAAGTCTTATAAATTACCTTTGTTTGTATAATCAGAGTATTTAGATTGATTAAATGTTTTTAATCTCTGTAATATTTTTTTATGAAACCAGTTTATTCAGATGTTACTACATGAAGCACAATACATCTTACCTGATGAGACAGTTACAGTGAACCAGCTGAATGTCCAGCCTGTAGAGGAGCTGTTAACCTCACAGATCAGAGTCACTGGATCTCCTTCAGTCAACCACGTCTGTGGAGAAACACTTAAAACTGCCTGGGCTTTATCTGAAATAGAGAAATCACTCATTAATACCATGTTAAACGTGTGTGAATGTGAAGAGATGATCAAACTCACCTGATACTGTCAGTGTAACGTCTTCACTGCGGTGTAATGTTCGTGATCCTTCTGTCTCTACTCCATAACAGGAGTATTTACCTGCGTCAAACTCGGTAACAGAACCGAATGTGTGTTCCTGTAGTTCACTGAAAGCATTGCCTGAACCATCTTTATACCAGCCGTACTGCCAGCTAGTGACTCCTTCAACATATATGTCACATCTGAGAGTGACTCTCTCTCCTCTGAATACATGTTGAGCAGGTTTAATGGTCACTGAGGGTTTTGGTTTTTCTGTACAATGACAACAATTCACAATAAAAATAATGTGCTGCTTTTACAGTATGTAAAAGTTAGTTGCAGTTACAACACACATGCTAAATCAGATGAGACTGAAGTGTTGCTCTCTATAGCTGTTACAGTTGTTAATAAAAGATCTGTCAATATACAATCATTGGGAAATTGGAAATAAGGGTTGTGAAAATTTTCCAACAGAAGATCTTGTCTCTCATTGTTTCGATTTTGATTTCACAGAGAATGTAGGAAATATATCTGCTGTTTTTGTTGCTGGCAATACGATAGAAGGAACCGTATGATCTCCTGATTCAGGCGCTCTGTCTGTCTGT